TTCCTGTAGAGTTGTCAACGAATTCTGCAACAAATAATGATAATACTATCCAGAAAATAACAGGAGAAGAAAATACGCAGAATGATTCAATTTCAGAGGGTTCATATGATACTGTATGTGATAATAAATCTACTTCAGATAGTGATTACTTACCTGACACTAGTATTGAGTCTCTTCCAATCAGCAAAGTCACATTGAGACCTAGAAATAAAGAAAATAAACATATCACAAATGAAAACAGTTCTGATGAAAGTACTTACCTGTGTCAACATGATGAAATGCTTGCAGATGTTCCAAAAACATACAGAGAAGCCATAAAATCAACTGACAAAGAAAAATGGGAAATATCAATAAGTGAAGAACTAGATTCCCATCAGAAAAACAATACCTGGACATTGGTCAAAAAGCCCCCAAATGCAAAAATAATTGGATGTAAATGGGTGTTTCGAGTCAAAAGCGAACCCACAGGTCCACGTTACAAAGCAAGACTATGTGCCAAAGGATATGCACAAACTGCAGGTATCGATTATCAAGAAACCTTTTCACCAACTGTGAGGTATGATTCGATTCGATTATTGTTATCCACAGCCATTCAAAACAATCTCAAAATTATGCAAATTGATGTTAAGACGGCTTTCTTGTATGGTGAACTTGAAGAAACTATATTGATGTGTCCGCCAGAAGGCCTGCCCTGTGGAGAAAATATGGTATGTAAACTTAACAAATCTTTATATGGGCTAAAACAAGCTCCACGTTGTTGGAATAATAAATTTAATTCAGTATTAAAAAAATTTGGCTTTGTTAATAGTAAAGCTGATCAATGTGTTTATGTTGGTCAAGTTAATAATAAGAAATGCTACTTTTGTCTGTATGTGGATGATGGATTATTATTTTCAGTAGATGAATTAGCATTAAAAGAAATAACCAAAGAATTAAATACCATCTTTGAAATTAAAGTGTATGGCACTCCAAGCAACTTTGTGGGAATGCAAATAGAAAGATTTAATGATTATATATTTATACATCAGACTAAATATATCGAACAAATGTTAAATAAATTCAACATGATTGATGCCAATACCAACAGTATTCCAGTTGATCCTCACATGAAGCTTCAAAAAGGAGAAGGAGAACTCGAGAAAGATATTCCATACAGAGAGGCTGTTGGCTCCCTTATGCACCTAGCTACTGTGAGTTAAACTGTTGTTTAATCACTGGATTATTTTATTTAATAAAAATTACACACGTATGAAAAATGGTGTCACAGAGCAGATCATAGAGAGAGAATAAGTATATGGCCAAGCGTGAGTTGGCTTAAAAAGGCGCGAAATTCAAATTATATTTAACACGCCCCTTGAATTCAAGCTGGTTTAAAAACAAAAGTAATTTATTAATTGTTACAAAAGCAAAAGAAATCTTTTACAATAGGTAAGTTATCTTAACACAATAATATAAAATTTATAGAAGAGAACTATATGAATACATTCCAAGTTTAGATCTAAGAAACAGAAATTTATCTTTGGCTAAGGCCTTTGTAAGTATATCTGCATATTGATTATTACTACTGACAAACTTTAATGAAATAATTTTTTGATGATATTTCTCCTTAATGAAGTGATATTTAATTTCAATGTGTTTACACCGTTTATGAAAGTTTACATTTTTAATAACACTGATAGCACTTTGATTGTCTAGATGAAGGCATAATGTGTTTTGTTTGTAGTCACCAATATCACTCAATAGTTGCTTGACCCACATGGCCTCTTTGGTGGCGGCACAGGCTGCCATGAACTCGGCCTCTGTAGTGGACAATGCCACTGTTTGTTGTTTTGACTTGCCCATGTTACTGCAGCTCCGCTTCTTATAAAAACATACCCAGTAACCGAGCGGCGTGTGTTTAAATCATTTGCAAAATCTTACCGATGTTGTACTTTCGAATCGTTCAAGTTATTAGTAAAAGTAGATTTGTGTTGTGCTCTATCTGCCAGTGTAACGGTTATAGGACGGAAACCCATTTCCATTAGTGAAACTGGCTAGATCACCGTCCGGGATATATCTCTTGTTAATTAACATGCAAACATAACAAGATATAGGAACAGATACTAATCAGACAAATCAGCGTCTATACAGATACAAAGATAGGTATGTCAATCCAAGAATAATGTTATAAAAGATTTCCACTTCTAGATATATTATTACTGAAAATTTAAATTATGTTTGAAACTCGTTTTTGTATCAGATTTTTTATTAAAGTTCTAAGGTTCGTAAGACGTTTGGTTGATTTCTCAACCAACATTTAGTAATAAACGTCTAAGTCTAATTCCAATATGTTATTTAGTGATATAAACATATTATTTTACTGAAAAGGCCAGAAAGACAACGTCTGTTTCTCCGAAAATGAAATGTCGTCTATTTTCGAAACGCTTTATAACTCCAAAAACTCAAATCTCCAAGATAGACATTTAGGACCTGATTCTGTCTCTGATGCACAAATAATCTTCCCGATATTTTTTTATAAGAACGATTCGAAATGTTCTGAATTTTCGTTCTTGGTCAAATATAATAAGCCCTTTGAAGCATGATAAAACTCTCACAGTCTGAATGGGTAAATATTAAACGAACTCATCTCAAATGGGAGACCCATTTGATAAAATGGAGAAAACAGGGAAATACAGATATTTCTCCGTCTTTAGAATTGATAATAATTAGTTAAACTTTTAATAAAAATATATCAACATCGAGTTACCCTCACGCACATGACCAAGTTATTATGTTCGAAGGATGCATCATGTTGCAAAGTGACCTTTGTCGTGACATTTCGCTGCGTTAGTTGCGTGCCAAATGTCAGATCCGTGCACTCAAGCACCAGATAATCCACGATCAGTTTGCCCTGTAACGGGCACTGGGTGATATAAAAACAAACCAAAAAAAGGCTTATAAATGTTATAGGTATATAATAAATGAAACCGCAGCAATCATTGATGCAATCACCTCTTTATCGTAAGTCAAAATTAAGTAACAAGATTGGATTAGTATTAATCTAGTACCTATAAACTAGCCATTTTTGTATATATGTACTTTTTTATCTCTATCTCATGATAGTCTATCAGGAAAAACATAATATAAAATGTAAACGCGTCTTTACTCCACGGAATTATTGGTCTTTGTTTATGTTGTAGCATCATAAACATACCATCTGATATACTCATATATCTTTCACATACAGATCAGCACGAAGACAATTACAAGTCATATAAGGAAAAGTGAATTCTTATGTTATTAGATGAAATGATACGTTCACGCAGTACTATTTTGTAGAATTAAATTTACGCAATACACGGGCATGCGTTGTATGTTGGTGTCCGTTAGACATTAAAATAAAAAGTACATAAAAATACAATTTCATATCAAAAATGGTATATGACATAAAACTATGGCAATGGATTGACATAATTCTCGTGTCCGCAAAACTCAGTTTTGAGCTGATTGGTTTGTGTGACCTTAAATTAATTGTCAAAAAATTTATTGGTTGGTGAATTCATAGTTAAATTAAGTCATTTTTATTAGGTCTTCTCTGTATGTAATTAAAACAAGGAGAAAAGACAGGCCATAACTGGCCTTCGTAGAAATCATTACTTGATAATATGTCATTATAAAAGCAGCAATTTTCCCAAATAAACAAGAATTTGAATGAAGTAAGAATTGTTCATAGTTGGAATACTATTAATTTATAAGCTATTAATAGTTCTTACTTCATTCGAATTCTCGTCTATTGGTTAAAAATATTTGCTTAATTTATACAATTTTCTCAAGTAATTATTTCCCTCGACTATAGATCTCGGATCTGTTAGTCAAGGTCTCCGGGTGGAGATTTTAATCGTTCGATTTCAACAAGTGCTTGAGACAGTCTATTCGGTTATTTAGTCTTGTATACACGACATTCAATATGACTTAAAAAACTTCCAAAGAAAAGCTAATGTTAAATAATTTAAAAAAACTAATACTAATATTAAATAATTTTAGTTACAATAAATTGAACATTATTGTCGTCATTTTTAATCAACCTTTTTAGATTTAAATAATGCTTTGCATTACTCTTCGACTCTTGGTTATTTGGATTTACGTTGAATTCGTAAAATTAAATTGGCTCCTTAAAGGGTTAAGGTCAATGATACTTCTTATTATTATTTCTTTGGTTACTATATAACGTCCTTCAGATAATAGTGTAGATCTATTATCTGAAGGATGTTAAATAGTAACCAAAGAAATAATAATAAAAAGTATAACACAACATAAACAACTGTGTAAAGTAAAAAAATATATATATTTGTTCTTTCATATGACGTAAAGAAGTCTCATTATTTCAAATGTCGAATCGGATATGCACCACGTGTCAACATTATGATTATTGAGAAATCATGATAATTGAGAGATTCGTAATTTGAATATCATAAATATCATGTTTCATTGGACACGGTCTGTGGATAACTTTATTTTTTCACGGCGCGTGCTTAGTGCGGTTTTTAGCGGGAAAGTAATTGAAAGAATATTTTTTTTTAATGTTTATCTCATTTTTGTAGAAGATTAAATAATATATGCGTAGAATTGACGGTTACATTTAGCGGCAGCCTATCATTTTAATTGATATGCGAATACAAAAAAAGCGGTTTGTAATATTTCATTATACAATTGTTTATGATAGGTTCTAATAAAATGTTACTGTGAAGAATTCTGTATTTTTAGTTGAAACTGAATTTATCATAATAACACATTGTGTACTATATTTTTCGTCAGTTGGCATTGGACCACGTCTACGAACACGCATAATGCATGTTCCGAAAATTGAAGTTCCATAACAACATTTTTTTATCTATTATCTTAAAAGAGGGCTACTTTTTGTTGAAAACGATGAAATAAAATTATTATTTATTAATTACATGCACTAATAAATAGCTGAGCAGAAATTTCAATGTATTGACAGATATTTTCTTTTGTTCCAGGGCAAGTCGGTGATTCGACCAATAGCGTTTAAGCCTCTAGGCGGGAGGCTCTCAGCTGGCGGTGAACGGTATGGTTCAACTCCGGTGTTGGCTAGCAGGCCACCTTCACACATGACGCTCTATGGCAGTAAGTTTATTACTCAATTATATATTGTGTGTTCCATAAGTTTTATAAGATACACGCCTAAATAGTACGTACAATCCATCATCATCAGTTTATAAATCTGGTGCTCCAGATAGTATTTTTTGGTCACCATTGATCACCATTGATCATTATTAAATTTGTAAATTTACGCTAACATTTTAACTTACTCCAACGTCAAATCTTGTTTATTAATAGCACTGTATTTGAATATCAAATTTAAATTCTTGATTATTATCCAATCCACCAAATGACGCATAGGTACGTTATATCAGTACTTCAATAAGAGAAAGTCATCATCATCAGCTCTTTTACATCCTCACTGCACGGGCTCAGACCTTGCTTATAGATAGATAAGAACCATGAGCCATGGTGGCGCATGCTTATTGGAGGGTGTTAATGACTGCAAATATATCCGGGACCAGAGGCATCCGGCTTAACGTGTCTTCTGAATCACGGGGTAGTTACATATAATATTTTTTGGTCACCCCTTTCCATGAGCGACCCTTGTGGAAGTTGCTTAACAACAACGATCGCGGGCCGCGGTGCTTATCAACAACGCCATTTAGCTAACCAAGATAAAATAACATTGTTTTAATATTCAGGTTCATCAGACGTCCGCGAGGCGCGCTGGTGCGGGTCCCCGCAGCCCGCGTCGCTATCCGCTTTGCCGCCCGCTAACCTCTCCGCTCCGCTTCACCAACGACATCACTCCGCTATCGTGTAAGTAAAATCCTCCTTAAAGCTGAGCGTTGAGATGAAATAGAAAATTAGACGAAATCAATAACATAGCTAGAGAACGATGATGTATTCTCTGCCTCTGTTGTTGGAAATTGTAATAGATTTATTGTAAAATCATCATATATTTATCAATTTAACCAATGTATAAAAATGCGAGGTATTTTTAAACGTCATTGGTAACTTTGTGATTAGGTACATTGTATTTTCACGTTTTCAATTGTTCACATTTTAAATATAACATTTTTTTAAAAACATTAAACTTTTATTACCATTCATCATTACAAAAAATTTACAAAGTGAGATAGCCGGGGGAAGAAATTTTTATTTTCTTTAAACTAGGCGATAGTTGACTGAACTAACGTAGCCGTAACATATTCTAATTGACGCTTTCATCATAGAATTGATAGATATGTCGTTACTTGACTCACGAGCTGGTTACGTCTGTAATTAGACTGATTGGACTTATTAGCTGCGCAGGCGCATCGCGTGCTGGTCCGCCTCCGTTCTTGAATGAATGCAGGGCCACTAAGATGACGCTTTCACAAAATTATTATCTATTCTTTTTTTAGCTATCTACTAATACATATATTTCTAAACCAAAAAATAAATTTGTAAATGTTATTCACGTTTAATATGTAATTAATCTAGAATACGATTTGCGAGAATAGACAATATAGTGTAGGAAATGGAAAGTGAGTTCATTGTGTTATGAAGTCAGTGTGACTAGAAATAAGACTAGGAGAAAAAAGCAACCCTTGCTAAGTTTCTTGTCGGTTCTTCTCACTAAAAGGTCTCCCGCCGTAATCGTAGTTTTCGACATTCACAATATGCCTATGATGATAGCCTAGACTGAATAAGTGATATTGAATTGGAATTATACAATAAACAAGTGAGTAGTGAGTAGCTGTGAAACAATGTTTATTACATTTGCCACTGTACTTGGCATTATAATATTATGTAAACATAAATATTAACCCGTTTGAAGCTAATGAGAGCGTTGTTCATAATAACTGTCTTTATAAACGCTAATAGACTTTATCTCGTCATGCTCTTATAAATTTAAGAAATATGCCTATTAATTAATAATAATAAAACCTATTATATGGAACATCAAATTAAAAGAGTTCAATGACTCATTGATTGATTCTTTTGTTTAAGACTGCGTATTATAAATCAACAAATTCGTCAACGGTGTAAAGAAATCGAATACCAGCAAACTTCAATAACAAACAAAAATTTACAAATAGCGTAGTAAATACTATTTGCATTGACAGCGGCATAGTAGCGATGGCACGCGCCAACGCATTCGCCGCACGCGTCGCCAGTCGAGCGGCCGCGAGAGCCACGCGCATGTGCAAACCTCTTTACAACGCATCAAATTCAAATTACGAACATCTTTTAAAAATGCTAAACGTGTTCTAAATTATGTGCGTGAACTGTTCTCTATGAATAGGTGAGTATAGAGTGTTTAGTTCTTTTACATATTTATATAGTTTGTACTAGCTCCGTTTTAGACCTACATTCCTATACTTATATATGATACAATCGTTTTTTTTTATCTATTGTGATCTTTTTTTTTTTATGCAAGCAAAGACAATGCAAGTCATAAGTCATAAAGTTAATTTTGTAAATACTTACAGCATTTGTTTTTATTGTCAAATTAGTATGCAAATAATTATAATTAAAAATCTAATTTAATAACAAACATAATAATTATAAAAACGCATAGCACCATGCAAGATGTATTTTGACGCTATTTAAAGCTCTATTTAAATATCGGCAAATCTTTCAAGGTAACTCAGAGCTTAGTCATCAACACAATGATTTCAGTTGGGAAATAATGTTTTGTATAGTTGCAGCCATTGTTGTACAGTTTCCGCTATACGTATCATTATCAAATGCGCTGGCGCACTGTTCTGATACAAGTTTGCCTGCATTATCTCGTTTTCTCTTTTCAATTGCAGCAATATACATCTGTGAATCGAAGTTTTGCAAGATTTGTTCGAGTATGTCTATTTTATTTATTTTTTGTTCTTATTAGTAAGTTTTAATTCGAGAATTTGGTGCGCCAACGCTAGCGAATCTCCATTGTCCCATGGAGATATCTATATTCTTCAAAATTTTTATAGAAGTACTGAAATTCCAGATAGCATTTTTTTCAATATAAGACTGCATGAGTCAGTTTCCTTTGTAGTTAATTAAAAAGAAAAACCTTTAATTAAACATCCCGTTATAACGTACTTAATGAATGCATGCCTTACGAGGTTCTAATTTAGAGTCTCTAACAAGAAGAACCATTAAAGTTATTTACGCATTATGAATCAAATCGACCTTCAACTATAAAGGGCTACTACGAAAAATATTCATAGCGAATGTGCCGTAGTATCTTTAAATACTTAATTATTTATTTTAAATTCTTCAATGCAAATTCGGTTTGCTGAAGTTGAAGTATACTCGTATAATATATATTGAAAAATATAACTATCATCAGTGCATTTTAAAGTAGTTATAACAGACTAAATAAAAATACATATGTAAGTTTGTATTTAATTACCATACAAATTACCCATTGCCCTTTGTAATCAATCAAAAATTCTTCTCTGTAGTTGCACACATCATCGTATCTCCACACAGAAAGTGTCGCCAGTAGTGCTGATCTGAGGAAACACGTGTTGCAATTGAGTTGATCACCTTTTTGTTGTCAGATTGCTACAATTGCTCACCTTTTAAGCATTGAAGTGCATCTTGTGATCTACTTTCTTCACTGGTTGTCAGAAAATCGGAATCTTGAAACATACTTTGACTTTACCACGGACCTCCTTTTGACGAAAGCGGTTCATATCAACAATTACTTATGTACAATTTAAGTATTAATAAATAAGTTGCAAATATTCAAAATACGTGTGATTTAAAATAAATCAGTGAGGATTCGAATAAGAATTCGCTACGCATTATATAACGTAGCTAACATTGAACATTACATTATCTAGTGTTTCCTTAAAATTGTTTTTCGCTTAGTCACTAAAATACCTGCATAAAATTTCACCGAAGTAATGTTGAATCCTAAGAATTTTATAATTAGGATAATTAGACTTCATTTCGAATGAATGTGTAATATTAAAAAGAGTTTAGAATTATTCAGACTTTCTATAGAATGAAAAGTAGAAATGCGAATACTCGGTAATAATTCAGTTCAGTGGTCATGAATATAACGGAATAAATATAATTAAATAAATTAAGAAAATATTAAATAAATTAAGATCAATCGATCTATGAGCTATGACCAAACGACGGACAGATAGACGCACTTGACAAGAGTAGGTACTTGATAAATCATAATTTGTTATGCATGTAAAAAGTGACAAAAGCAAAATCTGCTTGCAATATATTAAGGTGAAGATGAAGTGCTAGCTGTTTGCGCGCGTAAATTACAGCTAATGTTACTCGCTTATAATGCAGCTTTTAGTAGATGAAAGAATTTTTAAAATCGGTTCATTAGTTTTGGTGCCATTTCGATGCAAACAAACAATCGAACCTTTCCTCGTTACGCTTTAATTTGCGTAACTTTCTGTGTCAGTTAGCGTGTAGAAAATCTTGCAAGCTAAGCTTGACTCGTATCACGGTTTTCGATTCAACTAATTTGTTCGTGTGCATTCAATAACTTCATACTTCAGAGGTCCTATGAATATAGCCATAGGACCTCTGTAATTAAACGAAGCGACCCCATTGAGTTTGGGTTTGTTTTTTTTTTTGTCTATAAACCCAAGATATAAAGAGTCTAGCTCAAAGATAATATGGTGATGCCATCAGCGCGGTTACATGACAAATAATCGCTATTGATCGTCAACTCTACCTAAGGCATTCGGGTTTTAAATAAAGTAAAGAAATTTAATTAATTACTTTTGCTTAATGTGCTGTACCTACGGAATGTCGAAGTTGTTTTTTCAAAACAGGAGACTACTTTTTTATAATCATATGAATGGTTTTCTAAATAGCTATTACTGAGATGATTCAAAGATTTTAAGTCAAAAATATTGCAAAAGCATTACGCTTCGATCATTCATTTTTGATAAACCTTCGTGTGTCGACAACAATACGATACTGCGAATTTTCCAGTATAATATTGTAATCTTTGCTGCGAAGAGACGAGAACAGGAAACACGCGCATGCGCGATGTACGCATCTCATTTTAATTACAACTCTAATTGCATTAGATACCAAATACATATGTTGTGATTACAGTACAAGTAATTTTGTTGCAATTATTTAATATGATTTGTTCATCATCATAATAAAGTTACATCGTACCTCGAATAATTAACGAACTACCCTCGGATTTAATACAACATATACTTCCTAACAACTTAATTATAATTTTATACCTAGCACATGTGTGCAAACCTTCGTGGTTTCTCTTCATGGCTTAGTTCAATTACCGTGTTAAATAATTTTCTTAATTTGTAAATAAATAAAAAAAGGCTCAGTCTTTAAAAAAACCATGAATCTCATTTAAAAAATTAGCCAAATTTTAAAAAATTTAACCTTATTTAAAGAGTATATATGAAACTCTAAAAAAGTTTTACTTTGTATTAAGTAACTAATTTGACAATACAACGCATTCGAGGTTATGAACACGAAAAACTATAGCGACGCTTTCGCAGTCAAAATCCTTTGACTACAAAAGCATTTGTCTATTTGCGAATTTATCTATTGTTTTTGTGTTATGTTGTAAATATCATATAAAATCTTTCTACTTCGTGAATATGTTTTATTGTCTTGCATTATAGGAAGTTAATTTAAAATAGCCTCGAATAGCTTAAATGTATAATATCGTCACGCTGTGTTATCAAGGCTACAATATTGTTACTAAAATACCGAGTTCTGAATGTTGAATTTTATAATTCTTGACCGTAACGCTTTAAACCTACTTTTTAAAGACACAGTTTATCACTTTATACGTTGCTATTAATCGTTATATAATG